ATGGAGCGGAGGCGGGGCTAAGGTGGGGCGGGGCCGTGGGCGGATAGAGTTGAGGCCATTGTCTGCTAAAACACCTGAAAATGCTCTTGGCATAACATCTGTCCAGCAGTTCTGAAGCGGGACCAACCATTTCCTCTTTCTGTGGGAAGGACGATAAAACAGTTGACGTCTTTTCTGGACTCGCTCTTCCTTTCGTTAGTATTGAATAGACGCAGTCAGTGTGATTTAAAGAGCAGATTTATTCGCCTGCCTGAGATCTTTCCTATGCACCTAAGACGTATTTTTAAAAGTAGGTTCTTGTCTCTCCCAACAGGTTTTTACACAACAACCGAATTGCGCATTTGGTCCCGGGGACATTTAACCACTTGGAATCCATGAAAAGACTGTAAGTTGTGCTGTCTCCTCTGCACTCCCCATGCCCGGCCCTCCATCCTGGGTGTGGTGAGGTGTGTGTCTCGCCTGCATGTAGCTCAGGAGACAGAACCTTCCTAAGGGGACAGATTCCACCCGTTAGAAGGCCCAGGGCGTGTGGCAACCGGTGATTTCTTGAGTGGGCTGATAAGATATTTTAAAAGCCATTTCAAAGCCTTCGCCTTGATTTTAATTCATGGTTCCCCTGTGGAAATAAAGTCAGTCTATGACAGGGGTGGGCAAACTTTTTGACTCAAGGGCCACAATGGGTTCTTAAACTGGACCGGAGGGCCGGAACAAAAGCATGGATGGAGTGTTTGTGTGAACTAATATAAATTCAAAGTAAACATCATTACATAAAAGGGTACGGTCTTTTTTTTTTTAGTTTTATTTATTTCAAACGGGCCGGATCCGGCCCGCGGGCCGTAGTTTGCCCACGGCTGGTCTATGAGGACCCCTGCTCCGGGGTCCATACCTGCCTGTGGGTGGACACGTCCACAAACACGTGAAGTGGACTGCGGTTGTTTGCCCAGTCTCTCAGGGCCTCTGAAGTAATCTTTCTCATACTGAGTCATTTCTTATAATAGACTCAGTCCTGATGGGAAACGTTGACGTGTGTTTTTGCTTTCGGTTTGAAGGCGTGTTTCCGGTCATTGGTTGTTCAGTACAGTGGACCGCACTGAAGACACGAGACAGACTTTCATCTCCATTTATTAATGTTTTCCTTTAGGATAAAGCAGTCACCAGCCAAAGTAAAGCACATTCTCAGGGGGGGATAGGATGCGTGCTGCACAGTGAAGGGTAAATACGAGAGAAGCGGAGAACCAGCCAGGGGGGCCCCGACAGCCCAGGCAGGCGGGCCGGTCCACGGGGTGTAGAATATGCTCTATTTCCAGCCCTTTTCAGACTGAGCCAGTCCTTTAACCTTCATCCTCTCCTCTCTGCCCTGTTTGCTCCCCGACTTTGCTCAGTCTACGAAAGCCTAGATTTTGAGGCCGGTTCTCACCCCAGACGCCAGAGGGCAGCACAGACTTGACAGGCTCCCATCCCTTGTCCCTCACCAGCTGGTCCACCGCGCTGCCCCTGGCCTGTCCCACCTACAGAGGACCTGCTATTCCGAGGGGCCGCCGGGTCCGAGGGAGCCAGGCACATGCCCCCGCATGTCCGATCCCTGCAGCCGCCCCACCTGAGGGCCCACGCACAGGGGAGCAGTGTCCTCATGGGGGACCGAGCTCGAGGTCTCTGCCTGCTGGGCAGCATCTCAGCCCCACCCTGCAGACCCCCCGGGCCCTCTGTGTCTCCTCCTGGGGAGCCAGTACATCCCACCATGGGGGTCATCAGAGAAATGACCGTCCAGGCAGAGGACCAGTTCTGCCCACGGTTCCCGCGGAGCCTGTGTCCTGGGAAAGACAGGTGGTGGCGGGTGGGAGTGTGACATCACAGGCCTAGGGCTGCCAGGGGGCCTGGGCCTGCAGTGTGGACTCAGAATGGTGAGGTCACCCCACGCTCCCCACACCTGAGCTCTGGGCCCCTGAGATCCTCCCCGGTGAACCACGCAGCACCTGCCTGAGCGGGTTCACGATGAGCCCCTCCTGCCCGTTCCCCACACCTGTTAGGTAACCAGCAGCCACGCCACATGGTGGTGCCCCTGTCCCCGTGGCAGCCACCTCTCACCTGTGGGCCGTGTTGCACTCGCCGTGGACGGTCCCCGGTGGAGGGAACCCCTCCCTGTGCCAGGCAGCACCTTTCAGGAAAACTCCTCTCTGAGATTTGTGCGTTATGAGCTGGATTCAGAAATAAACCCCAGCCCTGGCCGGGCTGGCTCAGTGGATAGAACGTCGCCCTGCGGACTGAAGTGTCCTGGGTTCGATTCCGGTCCAGGGCACGTCCCTCGGTTGCAGGCTCCGGCCCCGGTTGGGGTGCGTGCAGAAGGCAGCCAATTGATGTGTCTCTCACATCGATGTTTCTCTCTCTGTCTCGCCCTCTCCCTTCCACGCTCTAAAAAAAATCAATGGAAAAATAGGTGAGGATTAACAAAAAGAATAACAAAGACAACCCTTTACCAAGTAGCACTTGGCTGCAGAAGATGCATGGTTTATAAAACAAGAAAGAAAGAACCCCGTCCTGGTGCGGTCCAGGACGGTGTCGTTTGGGGACGGTGTCGTTTGGGGACGGTGAAGGGTCCAGCGAGATGACGGGAGGACAGGCCTGCGACGGAGGGTCCAGGGCGGGTCCGGGACTCACTGCTCCTCCTCACAGGCGGCTGGACTCGAACGCGCTGCACTGCGACTGTGAGATCCTGTGGCTGGCGGACCTGCTCCAGGC